TCTCTCTCTCTCTCTCTCATTCTAGTATAACTGGCCTTTCATTTAATTTGATTCCTTTCCTCGACTTCATAGCCAGAGCCCACAGTTTTTTTGTTCATTTCTTTCTCTCGTGTCATCAGATATCATATGAAATACTAGCAAATCATAGTGAGAGCACATGCAGTACGCCCTCAGCAATGATTACGCTTGCAATGCATGCAATTCATGTGTATTTTACCGATACATAAGTCAAGAATTAAAGAGAGAGAGAGAGAGAGAGAGAGAGAGAGAGAGCCTCTACTGAGTTCTAGGCCTTGCTTTTACCCAGAGATATGATGTGATAAATACCTAACTATTTGAATGTCGCTTTGATTATGGCATTCAAGTGAAGCATATCTTCAAAGCCAACACACAGTTTGATTCATTGAGACTCCAGAATAGTTATGTGCAGTCCTTTCAGTCGTTTACCTCTGAATTAAATACTTCTTTAAAATACTAAAACTCGTGTGTTTTGTGTATGAAATGGAGTAAAAAAAACTTTTGCAATCTCTGAGAGGGAGTGAAAGGAAAAAACATATATTTTCGATATCGATTTAATTGCTACTAAATGCTAACTCCTAGTGAATGTAAACGCCTTTAATGTCTTGTAATCATTATCTTGTAGTAATGGGTGTAGTCTTACAGCACATGTTTTGATTTGTGCCCTCACTTATTGAAACTAACATTTATTAAAAGTCAAAGTATCTGCCGTACAGTATATACACGTGAAGTATTGCCCAACTTTTGCAAACTTGGATTAAAATAGTGGCACAAAATTCTCGGCTCAAAAAACATTTGGCTGAAAATTGTTTTGTGAATTATGAATATAAATAAAAAATCTTCCTTTGAATGCATTGACAAATGATTTTCAATATATCATAAATCAAATAAGAATTTGGATTCATTTTTATATTAACAATACAATTGAAATGCAATTTATATAATAGGAGAATAAGCGGATAGTTTGAGAGAGAGAGAGAGAGAGAGAGAGAGAGAGAGTTTTCTTCATCTATCCGTTTGGCCCTCTTATCAGTCACAGGCCCTCCAGTTCTTGATATCTATTTCTCTTTCACTATAACTGATGTAATTCCGGATCTGTTTGTATGTCTCTCTGATGGCAATCAAGATTGTTGTGGACACACATTATCATAAATTTATAACGAAAGCCCCCGAAGGGTATCTCCACTTTTTAGACCGCGTATCAAATAATTTTGTAAAATAAATTTTTTGGTCACATTCACTGATTTTTATGTGTAATAATTTATTTCCTAAAAATATGGTTCAATACACGACTCGTAACAAAAAATAAAGTTTTTTAAAGAGAGAGAGAGAGAGAGAATGTTTGAATCGCAAACGTCTTCAACAAGTGAATGATTTTTACAATTATATATGACTTCTCTATCAAATGCTCAAATGTTTTGCGAACACATCAATAGACGAGACAAAGAATTGCATTCCTTTTGAGCACATATTAAGTCCAATTCACAGGTATTTGAATTATAGCTCAAAAGAGCAGTTATTGATATATAGCACGAAATAGTGGAGCGCTTTCTTTAAATGATTTAAACACTAGTTTTAGTTCTTCTGTACAACTATTTTCTGTAGAATATTCTGTACTTTAGATTAATAGTGAATTTGTTTGTCAGCCCTCTCTCTGCCTCTATCTTTTCTTCTCTGTCTATCCCTCCCTCCCTCTCCTTTGCTCTCTCTCTCTCTCTCTCTCTCTCTCTCTCTCTCTCTCACTCACTCAAACACACATTTAGAGAAAAGGTGGAGAGAGAGAGAGAGAGAGAGAGAGAGCTATGTATTGGAATGAAATGATCTTTTGAATGCTAGTTGTAGTCTGTGTTACACTCGATATAATGAGAGTTTAATAATAGTTGCGCCAAATGTTAAGACTTGAAAACTGATTTTACGCTACAGTTGTACTTATGATGACTACAAACCTGGCAAAGACCGGTCATTATGAACAGTGTTTGGGGCACTGGCTGTAGGGCTGACTAGCATTATGTTGTGGTAACATTATTTTCCATCATCTCATTCTCTCTCTCGTCCCATCAATTATTACAATACAAAACTCCTCTACAAACGAGTCAACTAACGGAAGCCTACTATTAAATACTAGAAATGCCAGCTCTGGCAGCACATCCAACAGACACTCCTATGCTCTGAGCGCT